GGACCAGCTTTCCAGCACTGGAGAGAACTCAAGGAGTGGAAGGCCTGCGATCGGACGCCGAGGTTGCTTTGTTTCTTCTCGATAGGTGACTGGACGCAACAAAGCGACTGTTGAAAATCATTTGAAATGTGTGTCAATACGTCATAAATAGAACGCAGCAGTAGTTTTCTGCCGGGGATTTGTGGTTAAGGCTAGAAGGGATACAGCTGCGGCTACTGGGCATGCGCACATCAATATTGCGTAATTTATGTAACACTGTACAACAATAATTACTATTTTTTCATTATTGTAAGGGGTAGGTTTAGGGTTGGGGTAGGTGTAGACATTAATAAAAACACAATCTAATTGGTAGAAAATAAATTTCATTGTTCGTTTCCGGTCGGAGCTGTATCCCTTCTAGCCACAACCGGGATTTGTCGTGTCGTGTCGTACCGCGCCGCATCCAGTGTAGACCATAGATATGTATATATATCTATAGTGTAGACAGCATCACTGATTATAATTGTCAACATTGGCTACCAGAAATCACTTACCCCACCTTTAAATTATTAATAAATCCTATAATAGTATATAAAGTAACACTGGTGTAAACTATATTTTAACATTTTCTGATTAAAATATGAGTGGTTCTTTCCTATGCAAAGGTTTCCACCATCATGCAAATGTCCTTTCCTAAAAATATAAGTTGTTCCTTGAATAAAGTCTGTGTAATGTTAAAATATGTCATCTAAGAAACTACTCTGAGGAATGCAAAAAGAGCTGTAAAATATTCGCTGTGACAGAAACAAGGAATATCATAAAACATGAAGGTCTTTTCAGGGCCTCCACATTACATGAAAAACATCGCAGGCAGCCAATGAGATGCTGTCAAGTGAGTACAACTGTAATTCATACATGCTAAATGTTCGAATGTCATAGTTGCATTTGTAAAAGTAGAAATAGATGGTTCACAAGTATTTTCAAGAATGAATAAAGAAGATTTTCTCCGGTTTAAAGGGACAGTTCACCCAAAAATTAAAATGCACTTCTTTTGTGTTTTGCAGAAGTCATACTGGTTTGGAACGGCTTGTAAATGAGTAAATGACAGAAGTGAAAATTTTTTTTTTTTTTACAAAAATGTACCTCTAATGTGGGTCGTGCAAGCAACCACATCTCTGATTTCTGGATCATCCTGCATTGGCATTTTCCTCTTTGCACTGCTTTGGATTTCATGTTTTATTGATTGCCATAAAAGTTTCATATATAGATCCTGTGAGGGTATTTGTTGGGCAGCCTCTTCTCTTCATAAGTAAATATGCGTCCATAATCGTTTGATTGAAAGTTCACGGCACAGATGGAGAGTAAGACGCATTTGTCAGTAATCTGTTGTCATTTGAGCGTATGTCTACAGGACACTCACCATATACCACATGTTCTCAGACAACCTCCGTTTGTTTGAACACACCACTGCCGTCATTCATAAAATGGAGAGATTGCTCCACACCCAGCAATAGCAGAGGAAAAGAGGTATAACAACAAAACAATCATTCAAGTTTTAAAGGATGGATTATTATGGCTTAAACCTTTTATTGTGTCTCTCAGTTGACTTTTCCCTCCTTTTTAAAAGCTTTCAAAAGTTACACTTGCCATAATTTGAGCTTGTCCCTTGTCCCAAACCTTTTAAATGCACCTCTATACGAATTTATAATAAATTCGTAAAGTTTTAATATCACAAAAATGTATCTTTTGCATTTCCAATCAAAAATTTGTTGTTATTATTATTTATTTTTATTATTTTTATTTTTCATTTTATTTATTTTTATAATTCAATTTTCAGTTCATCTGCTATTCATGTGAACAATTTGTAATTTTTATATTGATTTTTATTAGAAAAAAAAAAGAATTGCCATTATTAACATCATGTTAAATATTGAAAACAAATGAGTCTTTATAAAGAAAGTATATTTATTTACTCATTTATTTTTCGTTTTATGAAAAATGAGATGAAAATCTGAAATATTATTCGATCAGATCTTTATTCCAGGACATATGACACGCATAATTTGAAGGCGTTTCATTTGTCAAGACTTCAAGTAGTAAAAAGTGTCAAAACTGCACTGCTGCTGCTGCATGAGTCACGTTGGATGAGGTGATGGAATGGCAGAAGGTCAGAGGTCAAACCATTTGTCTCTCGCTCTTTCACATCTCTGTATGCAAACACAAACGGAGGCCCCGGACCGTGTCTTTGAAGCTGGCCTGGAGTAAACCCTAAAGGAAATGAAGTTATCCTTCCTGGAATCCCTGTTCTCATCTCCAAACGCCTGCTGCTTTCATATCCCCCTCCCTCTCTTCTCTAAGGAAAAAGCTGGAGCGTGCTTTTGGGCCCGGCTTAGTCTCAAGTCTGTAACCTAGTGTCCACTCTTGCTCGCAACAGCTCGCGATAAGCCCATTAGACAGGCACATTTAGTCATATTGACTCTGGCCAGGGGAGAAAAAGCAGCGGTGAGGAGATGCAAACACGCTCCCCAGGCGCGGGATTAGGCCCGTGACTGATCCTTAAATGAGTTTGGTTAAATACTCTAAAATTCATTTTGGAAGGTTTAAGAGCCGCTCCATTTGCCAGGTCAGCAGCATTCAGTGCTAAATAACCACTGTTTATCAGCGTCTCACTCCAGAAGACACAAGACTGGCCCTTCCCAGCAGTCACATTACTATACTCCTGCTGTATTTATGCATAGTGCACTTCTTTAAAAGCATAAAGGAAAGAAAATACATGATAATAATGAAATAAAAGGTAATAATTTTTTTTTGTTATATTGCAGTGATTAAAAAATAAAGTGAAAGATCTATTAAAATGATTAATAAAATAAAGTAAAATAAAAAATAAAATAAACAGTAGTAATGATCAATTATTGGAAAAAAAAAAATCCAGAAAAATATTTAATTCTCATAAAAAAAAACTATAGTTGTCCTTAAATAGGCATCACTTTATTTATGCATGGTGCACTTATTTAAAAAATAAATATCACACAGAAAAGAATAATGATAATAGAGGTAAAAAAAAAAATGATATAGGGGTTAAATTTTTTATTTTTTATTTTTTTGCATTGTGACATTTTTATATTAAGTAAATGGATAATTGTCACTGATTATGAAAGAAAGAAAGAAAGAAAGAAAGGTCCTGAATTAAGCTTTATTTATAGTGATTTATGCATGGTGCACTTCTTTTAAAAGCTAGAAAATGAAAGATAATAACTATTTTTTTGCATAGTGACAATTTTCTTATTAATTAAATACAGTACCAAAACAGGCTTTATTTTCTTCTAGTTCTTCTAATTTTCTAGTTTCTCTATTTTTTATATGTTTACTATGTGTTGGAATCTGTCCCACCATAGCAACCAGCACAGCTCAGTTCAATAGCAAAACGTTACCTATTAATAACGAGTCTCATCGCTCAATGAGTCTATTAGGTTGTGTATCAGTGTGCACATGCCGTGCTCACAGCAAGTGTCTCTTACTGGACGAAATGCTCCGTCGACTGCAGGGTTTCAACAACAACTGAGCAATACTCAGCTTGTACACATCATAAGGACATAAAAGATTTGGCAATCATTACAAGCAATTAGTGCGGTGGCTCCCCCTGCACCATATGACTGGGCTCCAGTGATGTGTCGCACAACGACTGGCTGATTCTTAAAAACCATCAACAAAACCAATAAAAACACTCTCCAAGGTCGAAATGCTTGCTACATATGCTTATATCCACGTAAAGAGGCCCCAAAAAGTATTTAGAGTCTTATATAGCACACTTAAAACAGACTGAATATAATTAGATAACAAAATATGGTTTTTCAGACTGAGCATAACTGTGGTTATGGTAACATTACTATACTCC